ACACAGTCAAATGCCTTTGCATAGTCAATGAAACACAGATAGACATTCCTCTGGTATTCTCTGCTTTCAGCCAAGATCCATCTAACATCAGCTACATGTTATCTGGATAGACCATGTTCTGCCAGGCTTTCCAATGACTGACTGTTTTAGAATAAGATTGTCAACAGAGCTTTCTTCTGAGATCTCTCTGGGGTGACCTCAAAACTGCCACCATTGCTGTTACCAACTGAGCACCTTCATTATCTACATCACCCAGGAACTTCCTGTGATACATATCGCTGGTTTCTTAACATTCCCTCAGTTTCTCTGCACTTGGCTTTGAACAAAAAAATGTATGTTATGTAATAATGTCCCTATAAGGTCAAAGTACACCACAGAGCTAATTTTGATTATTTATATGGGGTAGTTAAGAGCTCCTATCAGGATTAAACTGTACTAAAAACTACCTTATTAATATTTTTCTCCCTCCTCCAAGTCATCTCTCTTTTTCTCTATGTCTCTCTCTCTTACTGCTATCAAGTCAGAACCAACTCATAGCTGACCCTCAGTGGGTTTTCGGAGGCTGTAAATCACTCTGGAGAAGCCACTGGTGGATTCAAACCTCTAGAGAGATGCTTCCTAACTCCTTACATTGTGTTGATAAGTGCTGTCGAGTCATAGATGACTCATAGTGATCCTATGAACAAAAGACTTGAGCACTTGTATAACTTTCATCATTTCTCCACATTCATAGAGTTTCTGGAGGCAAGCTATTTCGGAAGTGGATGCCACTCCTGCATAGTGATCTTATTAATAATAAACAATAAATTTTCATATTAAATGTGTGATACTATCAAAATTACAAAAAGACATTTTAGAAGCCATGGTGTCATAATGGATTAAATGATAGGTGGCTACCCCCAAGGTTTGTGGTTCAAACCCACTTACTTCTCTGAGGAAGAAAGATGAAGTGATCTGTTGCTGTCAAGATTTACAGTCTTAAAAGCCTAGTGATTTGTTCCTATTCTATACTTTAGACTTGGTATGGATGTGAATTGGCTCAATGATAGTGAGCTTGGTTTTTAAAGGTCATTTCCTAGACAGTGTGAAACCAGGTTGCTCCTTGGAGACCAAGATTTTGAAGCTCCATCTCACATACTTTGGGCATGTTACCAGGTGGGGCCAGTCCTTGGCGTGGACATCATGCTTGGAAGGGTGGAAGGACAGCGCAGGAGAGGAAGACCCCGGATGAGATGGATTAACACAGTGATTGTGGTAATCGAGACAGTGAGATTAGCTCAAGGCAAGGCAGAGTTCAGAGCTTTTGCTCAGAGGGTTTCTCCGAGTCATGGCTGACTCAATGGCACATAACAACAACAGGAACAAATAATTCTTGCAGGTGAAAGATACTGGAGAGCACTGAAAACAGCGAAACATACCGAGAATTAGACGCATTTTGGCACATTATTTACTTTTCCTTGTCTGTAGCTCAGAAACAAGAACTTTTCACTACGAGCCCAGATGTTCTAGCTCGATCTCCTCGCGCTCACCTATGAGGCACTCACCGTTCTTGGCGATTATGACAGAAAGGTATTCTTTAGAGAAGGAGCTCATGTAGAGAAGCAGGCTGGGCGTCCGCGTTGTCCGAAAGCTCAGTTTGATCATTTCTCTGCTCAGCTTCATATCGCCATGAAATGAAGCGGCGTGGAAGCTGGAGTTTTTACTTAAGGGATAATTTTCCTGAAAATTGTAAACTACAGACGAGCCAGATCCAAAATAGGCAGAAATCTCTGAAACGACATGCACGTTTTGTTATGATAGAGAGAAACCAAGTACAAGGTTCTTGTTGTAGTTATACTGATATGGTAAGACTTTAAAAAAAAGAAAAGAAAAGAATGAATGAATTGCATCAGTGTAATCACCACCTCCAAACAGGACTGAATACGCAGTAAATTAATAGAGCTTTCAGGATGGTCCTTGAAATGGCTTTATCTGAGAATTGCCTACAATTAATTCAGTAGTACAGCTTTCCAGTTGCAAGCTTAATGCTCTCCTTTCTGAGTTCAGACATAAATCAGACTGTCGACGTACATCTTCTTCACCTTCCAGTGTCTGTTTACATTTTAACCTCCATCTTTCGGAGCTAGAAAGTTCCCTGGTGGTGTAAGGGATTAAGTGTTGAGATGCTGACAGAAAGCTTAGTAGTTCAAACCCTCCAGCCACTTGTCTAGTTCTGTAAAGATTCACAGCTGCCATGAGTTGGAATCAAGGCTTGATGGGCAGTGGAGTCTGTTCTGCTTTTACGACACAATGCAGGCAGCTCTGGCAGCTCAGTGAGAAGGAACTGTGCTGTCAACCCAAAGGCATGAAGTTCAAATCCACCAGCTGGCAGTCCCCTCGCATGGTATTTATTGTCTCTGAAGACCAGCTGGCAGGTCAGCTATGAGTTGGTTTTGACTTAACTGTACATAACTACAACAACCGATATTATGCACTCAGTTTCCAGCAACTGATGGAAACGACGGAGGCTTGAGTGATCTTCTAAACTTCCTGAATCACGGGACAAAATTGTCCTTTATATCTAACTCAACTCTGTTCAACTCACTGTTGGCCGGTAGAAACGGACTTAGAGCTCAGTGAACAAGACCAGAACAAGCTAGTTCCCATCAAGTTGTTTCCAACTCAACAATTCCATTGGGCTCCATACAGTTTCCAGTGAATAATTTTTCAGACATGGATTGTAAAGGCATGTCTTTAAGGCACCTCTGGGTGGATCTGAACCTGTAATCTTTCAGTGAGCATCTGAGCATGTTACCGTCCACACCACCCGAGCATTCTCACCAGCCCCAGTCCCTCAGTGAACAGGGGGAGCTGAGAAATATCCCACTATTTCACATTGCCAACAGTCTGTCTACAATTCATAGAGCAAAACGCCTGAGGGTTCCCCATTTTGTCATACATCACTATTTGAAATGTTATTTACAATTTTAGCTGAAGTAGTGGTTTGGCAAAAAAAAAAAAAAAAGGAAAAAGTAAATACAAAACCCAAACCATGTTTCCCCTTGAATTTATAAACATTATCATTAAAAAGGACAATAATTCCCTTAATAATTTTGAAATTGAACACTGCTCCATGTCAATATGTTGACAGCCATATTCCAACTCGATAGTACATAACAACCAATATTACTGAAGAGCATTTATTAGTAGGAGATAGAAAAGAAGACTGGACATACAGCTCTTTAAGACCCCAGTAGTCTATATTAGCTCGGAGCTCTGGTGGTATAGTGCACTGTGTGTTGTGCTGCTAACTGAAAGGCCAGTGGTTCAAATCCACCAACTTCTCTGTGGGAGAAAGACCTCCTTTCATAAAGATTGGCAGCCTGGTAGCCCAGTAGAGGGGTGCTGTGAGTCTCTCATGTGAGATTCTATAAAAGTTATATTAAATAGTACAGGATAAATGAGCTTTGAAAAAAACCCCAAAACCAGTAAACATGTGCCCTGGAGTTGGTGCTGACTCTGGGTGAGCTCATGTGTATGCCCCGAGGGTTTTCAATGGCTGATTTTCCCCAAAGCAGGTCATTATGAGTTTCTTCAGGGCACCTCTGGGTGGACTCAAACTTCCAACCTTCTGATTAACAGCTGGTCAGATCAGTCATCTATACTACAAAGGATTCTGATACAATAGCCCCTTATTTTTCAAGGATTAAGTCAAATATTTAACCAATGCAATACAATTGACATGGGTTTGCAAAAGAAATTTTGGAAGAGAAATAGTACTATTTAGAATGGCCACACAGAAAATGAAACGGCAGGTGGTTTGCCCGTCCCAGGGCCACACTCACCATTTGAGCAGAAGGGCCCAGTGTAGGCAGACAAGGTGCAGTCACAAGAGAACCCGCTGGGCTTCTCCCTGCACCTCCCTCCATGGCGACACAGCTTCCCGTAGCTGCCACAGTGCCCTCTGCAGCCAGGCTCCACGCCTGGGGTCACCTTGGCTCTCGCCTCAAGATCCAGGGCCAGCCCGTTCAGCTGCAGAGACCTGATGCACCCCAGGAAGCCTCTCTGTCTGGTGGCCGTCCCACCTAAGAGAGAAATAGGTCCAATGGTTCAAGTTCGACTGACAACTTGAAGGTCAACAGACCTAGAAGGCCTATGCAGAAGGGCTAAGGCGTGTGGTGTGTGGAAGGCGTCATGAGCAAATGTGATTCAGGGAACACAATTTGTGACCAAATATTGAAAGACTCAGATATAAATAAGATAAACACATGGAAGTTGAGTCACAGGAGTGAGTTCTTCCCAGTTTCCAGGGTGACTAAGGTCATAGTATGGGGAATTCTACCTGATTTTATTAGACCAGTGAACTTGGCCATTTTGATGTTTCTGAGTTATGTTCCAAGATCATCTTCCTTTTCAACCGAGACCTGTCTACTGTGATTTCTTCTTTAAAGTGATCAGCAGTGCTAGCTGGGCCCCGTCTAGATCTTCTCGTCTTAGTGTCCCAAACACTAAAAAGGTCACATGTGAACAGTCACACCATGGAGGCACTTGGGCCTTAAGAACAACCAACAATACACTACTAAAGGGCTACACTTGCCCAGAAATCTCAGAGAGAAGGCAGGAAAGGGTAGGCTAGAAGGATTCATGAAAATGAGAATCACAGGGAAGAAGCAGGAAGTTGTGCTTACTATGTGAATATTGTCATTAATACCATAAAGCAATCTTTTTTATGAATGGTTAATGGAAAATAATTTTTCAATGTAAAACTTTCACTTAAATCACAATTTTTTAAAAACCCCAAGTTTATGAGGCAGTTCTATTCAGTCACATGTGGTCAATATGATTCATAATTGATTCAATGGCAGCATCTTCAACAAGAAAATAACATTTGCTTAAACATTTGAGTTATGAAAAGATTCCCTAAGCTTTTAAATTAGGGTAGTTTCGAAGTTCAAATACAGAAATGTCTCATCTGAGGCTGTAAATCTTTACAGGAGAAGACGGACCATCTTTCTCCCAGGAGCCCCTGGCCACTTTGAACTTCCAGGCTTTTGATTAACAGCTTCATAATTTACATATTATGACATCAGAGCTCATAGGTTATTGTAAAGAACAAAGTAAAGGCCATAGCTTACTTTCATCTAAACTATCAGAACCAGCATTGCCATGTAGGTTGGTGTTTGGGTTTGGGTGTTTTTGTAATGGCTAGTTTGTATTTATAGGTAAGTGTGGTTTGTCCTTCACAGTGAAACCCGACCCTACTGCTGGGACAGTGCGAACTATGAAGAACTCTTGAGTTCTGCTAATTGACTGCAATTGATAAGCTCTTCCTGTGGTTATCCATCCATCCATCCATCAGAAAGATAGTAATTGAGTAGTATCAGAAGGTAAGTTCTTCTCTGTCCTTTTTAAAGTGAGCTTTTTCAGGGATTTGTCCAGTGTTCATTGGGGTGGGCTTTTTTTTCTTATTTTTCCCCTCAGATAATCTTAACAAAATGTTGATAACAAGAACTGATGAAGAAATAAGGGAAGGGAAATCTGAAGGGGTAGCTTCAAGTCATAAATGCTTACTCAAGGTCAAGTTGCTTTTCTTGCTCCCCAGACACTTTGCCATGGTTGACCCTGGTGACACAGAGAGGTAAAGTGTTGGGCTGTGAACCAAAAAGTCTGCAGTTTGAACCCACCAGTTCACTTCATGGTGAGAAGAAGGGGGGGAAAAATGAGCCAGACTGCTCCCATCAGCATTGATCGCCTCGGGAACCGGATGGAGGATCGCCATGCATTGACATCAACTTGACAGCAGTGAACTTGGTCTGGGAGACAATGCTTGACATTTTATTAATTTACTTCTTACGTTGCCAGTGTCTCTGTACTGGGATACACATTCAGCAATGACTGATTCAATCACTGCTGAATGCCCCACAGATAGGACAATCTGACATGAAAGAACTGTTCAATAACTACTCAGTCATTCATTCATTAGACTGGATTATACCACATCAGACTGGATTATACCACATCAGACTGGATTATACCACATCAGACTGGATGATACCATAGGAGAGGTATGGTGTGGATTATACTAAAACAGGGGTGTGGAGCTTCAGGGTTTGAAAAGGGAAACACTGTCTCTCCCACCTGGATGTTTGGGTTCTTGAGACTGAAAATAGAGATAAAACCATATTTCTGAATAAACTCATTCTATTTTCCCTGTATAATTAGTTACCTTTCAGAGAGAACGAAAAGGATTCTTGAGAATTTTGGACTCGTGGGGACTAATGCTATTTAAAAATCGAGATTCACAGACATAATGCTCTCGAAGCAAATGGCTTTACTCAGGACCCCTTGGTAACACAGTGGCTTAATCGTTTGTTAACCACAAGTTTGGCAGTTCAAGTCCACCAGCTGCTCGTGGGGAGTCGGTTGTAGCAGCGTCTCCTTGTGAAGCTTCACGGCTCTGGAAATCTTACAGAGCACTTCTACTGTGTTCTTCAGGCCTATTGGGAGTTAGCACTGACACACAGCAGTAGGTTTGGATTGAGTTTATGCAAAGGTGCACTGTATTCAAACAGTTCAGTCAGCTAGGTTAACCTGTTCCACGATGAGCTCCTCATTGTTGTTTTATGAATTTGAATTTTTTCCCCCTAAGGCCTCTAAAGGAGCCCTGGTGGCATAGAGATTTATGCGTTGGGCTGCTAACAAAAAGGTTGGTGGTTCTAATCCACCAGCTCCTTCAAGAGAGAATGGTACGGTTGTCTCCTCCTGTGAGGTTTACAGCCTCAGAAACCCAGGGAAGGGGGGGGAGGTTGTCATGCATTCGAATAAGCACAATAGCTGTGGGTTGGGTTTGGCTTGGTTTCAAAGAGCTCACAGTCTAGTGATGGATTTTGCCAAGGAACCACATGAAACTAAGGGTAGAAACAGCGCAAGGTAGTTAAGGAGGTCAGGAGATAGGAATACAAACAGGACAAAGTAGAAATAGCTATTTGTTCAATACGTGCTTGAATATTCCATAATAGTGAGAAGAAAAATCAACAACCAACCTTATCAACAGGACCTATTTGCTCTGTACTTTCAAAAGAGTTAATGTGTATCTAATCAAACAGTTTTAATTACATTTTAAAACGATGAGGAAACCCAGTGTCTAATTAAGCACAATGAGCTGGGCCATATACGGATTGAGGATCTCAAGTTTACCATTAGGTCTCCAGCTAACGCCATTACTACTCTGGAAAACACAGCTAATGTAAATCGGACTAGACCTGAGAGCTTAATTAAAGATTTCAATGCCTTTTCGGGGTGAGAGTGTGTCAAATTAAAATGAGTTGCCGTTTGATTAATTGATTCTGGATGTTTCTGCTGAGCTATTATGTTTGGAAGTGTCTTCCAATTAATTTTCTATCAATTTACCTGCCATACTAGATCAGATATAATGAATCCCGGAACTTCACCAACACTGAGTATGCCATGAAAGAAATGCCTGCCTCGTCTACGTAATTGGATACAGCTGAGTCTGTACACGCACACACAGACACACGGACACTGCACCCAGGTTTCTTCTAGGTGCTGAGGAGTGACTGAGTGGCCCTCCACCTGCTGGCCCCAGCCTTTCATCACCATCGTGGCTTTCAGGTAGTCTGAGTGACAGATGCTACTGTCACAGGGCAGGGGCTGAACTGTCCCCGTGCCAATTTCTTGCTACTCTTTTGGCAGTTAGACCTTAGAGAGTCAACGTAATGGCAAATTATTTGTGTGCTGTGCTTGAATATTATGGAGAACTAATTGGGAACAACTGAACAATTTATCCATGGGCCTTAGAGGAAAAAAAAATATACTAATAGTAAAACTCCAAAGCCTGTCTTTAAAGTGCAAAGCTATGGAAACTTGTCTGGTAAACCCCTGTGTCTTTAGTTGTCAATTGGGGTGGCTGCCGTGTTGCTGTGAGGTTGGAAGCTATGCACAGGCATTTCATACCCCAGCAGTGCAAGCATGGTGCATAGATTTCAACAGACCTTTCAGATTAGGAGCAAACCAGGAGGACACGGAGACCTATTTCTAAAAAATGACCAGTGAAAACTCTGTGAACAACAGTGGACAGCCTAGTGGTACAGAGCTGCGCTGCCAACGCAAAGGCTTGCAGTTCGAACCCCCCACTGTAGGAGAAGGATGGGCAGTCTCCTCCCGTGGGATTCACTGCCTCTGGAAACCCACCGAAGGGTCAGGTGTAGGTCGGTTCTGACAGGACGGCGCAGAACAATAACAATGCCTGACCAAGTACCAAGATGAGCCCCTCAGGTCGGAAGATACTCGGCATATGACTGAGAAAGAGCTGCTTCCAATGAAAATGTTGACCTTAGTGATGGAGAAGGGGTAAAGCGTTCAGCACTTTCTTTTACTGACGTGATACAACTCAGAATGGGAAGAAACAGCTGCAAACTCCCACCCATAATAACGTGGAACACGCAAAGTGAGCATTTAAATAAAATTAGAGATCATAAAAAAATGAAATGGGTCCCCCGGATGCTCAGAAATACCAAGCAATTCACTGTTGTTTACAAAGCGAGTAACCGATCTCATCACATTCTCAGTGATTCAGAACCACTCATAGCCAGCCGACCCTCGAGCAGTGCTCTAAGTGAGGACCACCACTGGCGATGTCAGAAGAATCTTGGATAAAGGCAGGTAATATTAGAAAGGCATTTGCCTGAATTTTAATAACTATGCAAAGGTATTCAAGCAGGGGGATCTTAACAAATGGCAACTTTTCAAACAATGGGAATTCCAGGATACTTCACGGTGTCCCTGCGGAACCTGCACACAGACCAAGAGGAAGCTGTTCAAACAGAGCAAGGGATTCTGATGGGTTTTAACATCAGGAAGGGTCCACTCAGGGTTGTCTCCTGTCACCTTGTTTATTCACTCTATATGTTGTTGTTGTTACGTGCCGTCGAGTTACTTGCAACTCATAGCGACCCTATGTACAAAAGCCCTAAACCCTGCTCTATCCTGTGCCAATCCCATTGTCTCTGACACACCCATCCCGATTACCCCAGTCACTGAATCAATCTACCTCATAGAGGGTCTT